GCATGTCTCCTGCTATAATCTCCTATATATATCAGTTGAATAGAATACCTGGGATTATACATTTTGCACATGCTTTGTTTGTTGAGATGGGTCTTGCAAGATCTAAATAAACACACATGCATTTACTTCATGACACTTTCAGTTTGGCAAGGCTACCACTTTTGAACAACTCACCTCCTTAATAGAAAATTTAAGTGATTTTGTGACCAGTGTTTAGTAAAGATAGCTAGCTTTTGGTTTCTTTGATGTATTTTCAGACAGTTCAATCTCTATTTCTGAGTATCTTTTTTCCTTTTGTCTTTTTTTGTTGTTGTTGGTCATGGAGCTTGAACTCTGGGTCTGGATGTTGTCCCTGAGCTCTTCAGCTCAAGGCACTCTACCACTTGAGCCACAGTGCCACTTCTGGTTTTCTGATGTTTAATTGGAAATAAGAGTTTCATGGACTTTCCTGCCCAAGCTGGCTTTGAACTGCAATCCTCAGATCTCACCTCCTGAGTAGCTAGGATTACAGGCATCAGCCACTGGCACCCAGCTTATAGTATCTTTTTTTTCTGAAGGATCGTACTCAATGATTTAACACACAATTTGCTGACATGAAGTCTGAAGAAGACATCATGAAAACAAAAGCAGCAAATACCTTTTGTATGTATAGTCAATTTAAAGAGCCTTCATTGTGTAGCAGATTTCCATCTGAGAGTGTTAAAAATTTATCATAGTTTCAGTCACTGTAGCTTCCCCTGGAAACTTGGCATGATGTGGACTCATTTGTAAAGTATGTACGTTTCTGCCACTCAGTAAGAAGCTTGCCAAGCAATACATTTAATTAAGAATGTGGGGAAGGGAATAATTGTGGTCTGCCACTGAGTGTTATCATTACTTTTAACTTCTAAAGCTTAATGTTAGTTTTAAGATCAGGTCTTGTAACAAGGTTTAAAGATTTAAAGCTGGAGGTAATTTCTCTTTTATCAGCCCAGGGGTTTTATACAGGGAAATGCATTATTTGGAGGCAAAGGTACATTAGCTGCATTCTTTAGATATAACTCTTTATCTACTGTGGAAGCTTCGAGAACCTTAGCTGCTTTCCTTAGAAACAACCTTTGTCCATTGTTTAAGACCTTGAACACTGATGCATTGCCTTTGGGGAGCTTAGACAGCTTTATTTCACTTTAACTTTCTCTGGAGATGCATAGAAATAATGAAATGTAATGCCTTGCTTGAGCATAACCATGTACATAACTTCTAGTCTTCCCTGGTGCATAAAGTAAATTTGATAAGAGCAACTCAAATATTGCAATGATTAATGTTGATTTTTTTTAAATTATAAAACAACTTACATCAGCAGATTCAAAGAAATGTGATGAGCACCATCTTGGAGGCCAGCTTTGCACTGTGTGAAAGGGTCAGAGAAACGTGCTTGTAATAATTTTCAGAGGCACAGAGCCCAAAGGGACCTGAGAAGGCCTTTCTGGCTTACACTGAGGGCACAAAACATCTTGGGGTTCCAGTTTTCTGGTGGAGAACCCTCTTATCATTTAGCTTTGTACAACCCTTCTCTCTCACTACTTGGTGGTGGTGTTCTTGGTGAGGAACCTTATTTCTCTAATCATGAACCATCAGATTTAACAGGCCTCTACATCCTAAGTGTAAATAAATATAAAGAATGGTTCTTCTCCCTTTCCTGCTTTGAACTCTACTGTATCTTGGCCTCGCAAAATGTTTCTTTGCCATCCATCGCATTCCTCTCTCTCACTTTCCCCTCAGAGACATCAGAACAGTTGCTCTAGTGATCTACTCCTTTCTGTGTCTCATTCTTCGCTAGGGGCAAGGAACAGCAATTAAAAATTAGCAGAGTTTAAGAAAAAAGAAGATGACACAGTGTAACTGGAAGAACAGCTGCATTAATTTAGGCATTTTTTCAGAGAAGAGAAGATTTAAAAATAAATAACTCCATATCTTATCCCACCTAGTTCATTTGCACACAGTTTCTAGCTTCAGAGTAGAGCTCCAACTGTTTGATCTAGTCCTGGAGGCATTCAAGTCTTTTTCATAGGAACCTGCTAATGCCAGAATCCACTTTCCTCTGTGGCAATGTTCCTCTGAGATCAATATCAAATTGATCAGTCACAAAAGATCAAATGGAAACTTGCTTCAGAATCATAAGAAGCGCCCTGAATTCTTTGTCACCTGCCCTGTAAAATCCTGAAAGCAATGCAACTTTTCTTCCATGGCCTTGTGCACCAAAATGGTTGTAAGGTAGCAAGTTGTATTTACCAATGCTCCCTTTGTTTAAAGCAATATTCAGAGCACTTTACAAAAATATACTCATGTCTCTACGTGGTGCTGCTGTTAACACTGCAGAAATTGAGGCACAGAGAGATTATTGATCTCGATTGGCCTCCACATGCAATTTGGGTTTAGAGAAAGAGGTAAAGGTCAAGTTCACATTTAAAACCAAATACTGCTGCTTTCCTGTTACTTTAGAAAGTAGCAACTGCTTGAGAGGAGGAAAATAGACTTAGGGAGAATAGGGAGAAATTTAAAAAAATAAACGAAGTAGAGAAAAATCTATGAATAGTAATCTTTTTCTTGGCATCTTCTTAGTTTAGATTCTATTCCTATAGGTCTACTCTTCCTTTTTAGGCTCATGTCTAAGTGACAGAACTAAGCAGTAAAAAATGAGATCCAACAGACAAGGAGATCTTATGAAGACGTCCAGGCCATCATTTTGCTTTTCCAACTGCAGTGTTCTCTTGGCTAATACAAGCTGTATAACTGGCTTGGCTCCTGTGCTGTGGTTGATTTGATGATATATATAGGTTTATTTTTCCAGTGCAAGAGTGCATTATTATGTGAGATGAACAGAGAATGTACTTTTGTAGTATTTGTGATGAATTGTCTTCAAGCCTACATTCATTTCTGTCTGGGAGAATTTTTGTTTTAATTTGTTGCAGCAGTGTGATCCGCATTATCCTTTGAAGTAGTGTAAATAGATTTCCTTAGGTAAGCTTAGGATAACTACTCTTTGAAGCTGGAAGGACCACTGCAGGGCCAGCTGGAAGAATTTGATTTATGCACATTTCTTAAGTCCAACTTAACATGTTTGAATTGCTTATTGAGAAGATAGAATAGGAAAATGACAGCATATAATTCATTGAAATACCATAAAAGAAGGATTAAGAGGAGAAATATTAAAATTAACCTTACTAATCAAAATGAGTCACATGTATGTATAACATGTATAACTTTAATTTTTTCTTCCTAGCTTCTGATCAGTACTGAGGTCGACAATCAGAGAAAAGGAGGCAAGGGAAGATCCCAGCTAGAAATCCAGAGACAAACACTATATTAAATGAATGTGTTCATAAAAATCACACAAACACTGATAACGATGCCCAAGAATTTATAGCCTCTTCTTAGCTGCAACTTTTAATAAAAGGGACATAGAAGAAGAGAGAGGAATGCTCTCATTATGACCTTGCCAATGTTCCCTGCCACCTTCCCCCAACTCCCTCTTCCCCCCAAAAGTATATATATATATATATATATATATATATATATATATATATATATAAACCTTTTCATCCTTGTGGGAGAGAGATGGAAACAAAAAAAAACACCACTTGGACAAACAAGTTCTCTGGATACAAATGTGTTTGAAAATACTTATCTCAAGGTCAAGGATGAATGCCTATGTTGAAGGGATGCAGGGACAGAATCCATCCTGTGTTAAAAGGGCGCTAAAAACACCTGTGACCCAAGTTCAGTAAGCAGCTCAACCTTGAAACCTCTTGGCCCAATTATAAAACAACAGCAGGCATGATGGAATGTACCAGATGTGACAGGGGGACAATTTTTCTAAAGTAAATTTGAGTCAAACTTCCAATCTAATATGTGACCATAAATACTCATGATCTTAAAGTTGATGTTAGGTGAAATGAACCTCAAGATAAGGACTCAAAGAGTTTTTCTTTATTGTGATTGTTTCTAACATATTTATAAGATGATTTCTTTGTTGCTTTTTGTGTCCCTCCCCCGTGGTATAACCCCCGTTTTCACTGTATTTGATGTTGGTATAATTTGTGGAGGGGAAGGGTAAAAACAAATTGTTCAAATAGGGATACAGGTGGATCAACAATTCTTGATAAGAAATGTACTCCATGTAATTGTAACCCCTCAGCACAGTATTTTCACAATAAAAAAAATCTTTACAATAGTTATCAGATGCACATGTTCATGTCTGTGTCATGTATTACTATTTTCAGTCTTTGCTTTAGTAATACATTTTGCTTGGTTTCAACATCAGTATATCCTAAAAGACATTTTGGAACAACAGCATGAACTCAGTACCAAAACGCCAGGCAGAAGCTCCATGCTTTTAGACACTTTCTCCCTGACCAATCCAGGAATAATACTTTTGCCTCTAGTTCTTAGATCCACCAAGATTATATCTCAAATAATTCATATTTTGTTATAATAGAAAACAGTGAGATGTACAAATCGTTATGTCGAAAACGAACTTTACAACTTTGGTGGGGGGGGGGGGGGGAGTCCGGGGAGGATTGGGTGAGGGTGGGGTGGGGGGGAGGATGGGAAGGGATGGGAAGGGGAAACAAAGGAGGAGGCTACAATGCTTGATAAGAAATGTACTCATTATCTTGCCCATGTAATTGTAACCCCCTCTGTACAGTATTTTCACAATTTAAAAAAATCCTAAAAAAAAATTAAAAAAGAAAAAAAAGAAAACAGAGAATAAAAATTCAGTGGAATTCATCTTTTTGGTAGTGTTTACTGATTCCTAACAATATACTTTCATTTAAAAAGTTTTTTAAAAAAAATTTACAACTAAAGTCTAATTGGGGCAAACATTAAGACCAAATTATGTGTAGTTGATTTGTAGTATTTGGAATTACAAATCTTCTGTATATGTGAATGTAGATGTGTGTGTATATCAAGTAGACCAATCTACTTTTAAGGAACCCCACTGTATCTTTTTATTTCAGGGGGAAAGGACCACTAAAGCATACAACAGATGTGATCTATGCAGCTAAACTGATATCAGAATCAGGATCAAGAATGGATGTTCTCGCTCGGCAGATAGCTAACCAGGTAAGTTATTTGTTTGTTTGTTTGTTTTATTGTGAAGGTGATGTACTGGGGGATTACAGTTATATAAGTCATGTAATGAGTACATTTCCTTTTGAACAATGTCACCCACTCCTTCTTTCTCTCCTAGATTTTCCTTTCCCATCTCCTTAAGTTGTACAAATGGACAAGGCAAATGACTTTGGTCATTGCCCCTTGCTACTCAACCATTAGCTAGAGAAATGGGGATTCGTTTTCCTGTATTAGATATGTGTCCTAAATGATAATCAGATTATTTTTACATTTTATGATTTTAATAGATTAAATAATGCACAATTAATCTAAGAAAACTTAACTATTTAAAATGCATACTATAAATATCTTCATGTTATTTTGGCTCCAAATTAACTCCATTTATATTAATGGAAGATAATAACCTAACTAAAGTGTTGATTTTACTTTGATATTTTAGACACAGTAATTAGTAGAAAACTCAAAAAAGATGTAAAACCCCGACATGTATAATTCTTATGGAGCTGTGTGCTTCTGAACTCTTAATTTCCTTCTGTTTTTCTAAGCAGCAGCTACAGTATGAATGTATTTTATGTCTAACTTTATTTGAGCAGCCTGCCAGTTTCATTTGTTAATGTGTTGGGATGTTCAATTAATTTCAGACAGAGGTATTCATTTACTTTTAAGTTTTCAAGTTGTATTTGTCTTTATCATGCATATGAATTTCTTTTTCAGAACATACTTTTCATCGATTGCAAATCATTGATTGCTTATATGCTTAAGTGGAATACAGTTGTTCCCTATTTAAATTTTTTGAAAGGAGATTTAAAATTATATTTAAGTAGTTGTACAGAAAGTTTCGATTCAACGTCAGTACAATGCACCTTGATCAATGTCATCCCTTTCACCATTCTCCTGCATCTTTTCCAAACCTACTCCATCCACCCAATTTCCATTTTCACATACACGCATTGAATATGTATGAGAAGTCATATCAATTATATATTATGTGGATATCATGTAGGAGAAACAAGCAAAATTGAACTAAGAGAGAAAGTAATATTAAATTCATTGAGGATGTATCTGTCTTTCAGTAATCTTCCTACTATACAATATTTATAATCTCCTATCTTTATAATTAAAACTTGAAAAAATTTTATGAATCTGATGTTAATAGTGATTGAGAATTTTTAACTTGATCATCCAATAGTACTTATTACACTCAAAAATGTTTTGAGTTTCAGGGCATTTGTGTTGGGCACTGATGACTCATCTCTGTGATCCTAGTTACTCAGAAGGCTGCGATCTGGAGATTAGTGGTTTGAAGTTAATCCTTGCCAACAAAGTCCTTAGATGGTATCTCCAAGTAACCAACAGAAAGCTGAGCCACCAATCTCTGATTTTAAATCCTAGTACCAACCCCTTCATATTATATATATGTATATGTGTGTATGTACATATATACATAATGTAAGTTTGATATGGAAAAATATAATCAAGGGCAAGAATGTTGTACAAATCCAGAGATCAATATTTTATATGTGAATATAAAAGTTGAGAAAAACATTAGATTTTAAAAATATATACCCTTATAAAATTTTATATATTTAAGATATGATGCAGGGGCTGGGAAGGTGGCTCAGTGGTAGAGTGCTTGCCTTGCATGCACGAGAAAGCATTCCTCAGCACCACATAAGCAGAATAAGCCAGAAGTGGCTCTCTGGCTCAAGTGGTAGAGCTCTAGCCTTGAGCTGAAGAGTTGAGGGACAGCGCGCAGGCCCAGAGTTCAGGCCCCACGACTGGCAAAAAAAATACAATGCAACACAAAAATATAGAAAGTAAAATATTAAAATATAAATATAAGGCAATAAAAACATAAATATTAAATATTAAAAATGTAGATTGGTTGTCAATTTTGTTAACCAAATATAGAATAAAGAATTAATATGCAAAATAAGCCCAAATTACTCAGTAGCAAAAAAAAACTTGAAAAGACTTGATTAATTAATAAGAGATAAGTTACCTGCATAGACATTTTTCTAAAGGAGAATATAAGTGATGAAAAAATATTTGCAAATAAAAGAGCATTTTAAATTGAAAACTTGTTCTTCAGGTGTGCTTCTAGGAAGCTGAAGTCAACTTGCATACACAGAAATAAGAGGAGAAAGGTATGCAAATTTTCTGAATAGAATCATTGCATAGGATATTTGTGCCTCAAATTGTAATACAGCACCCTATGAATATATATATATATATATATATATATATGATCCATAGCAATTAAATATTTCAGAATATCTTCTCAAATGTCAGTGGTAAGGAATGCTTTAATAACTTTTACAGGATGTAAATATACTAGTAATATATTTTGATGCAATTTGGACAATAATATATTTTTCAATAATATGCATTTTGATACTTCATTTATTAAACTGACTGACGTCATGAGGCATAACCAAGATTCCCTTCAAATCTGTCAATGAAGGTTGAATCTAGGTCAAGGAATTTTTAACTTTATAAGGTCAATTTCAAATTCTATATTCGTCCTTTTCTTAAAAATTATAGACTCTTCTGAAGTCAAGCCAGAGGGAGGCTCATGTTTCTTGGGGGACTACCTATTTTCTTTAAATGTGATTGAGTGCAGCATTGTTTGTTTGTCAAGGATCTAATTGTTGCTTTACAAAGTCTTCTATTTTTCAAATAGTTAAATAGTAGTGCTTCTTTTTTTCTTTTTTTTCTTTCTTTGCCTTTTATCTTTCATAATACTGGAGTTTGAACTCAATGACTTGGGCTCCCATGCAAGAAGTCCGTCACTTGAGCCATACACAGGCCTTTTTCCTTTAATTTTCCTATAGGATCTCATGTTTCTTGTTCATATGGTTAGGAACTTGATCTTCCTCCTTATGCCCCTTCTGTAACTGTGATTTACCCCCTTTGAATCACCACACCTGCTGTTTTTTGAGATTATGTAGTGCTAACTTTTTATGTCAACTGGCTTGGAACTATAGTCCTCCTATTCTCTACCTTCCAATTAGCCAAGGTGACAGGTATACCACCACCATGCCTAATCTGAATGGTATTGATCTTGGAACAATTTCACACTAATTAAACTTACAATTTACAAGTAATTGAGGTGACAATTGACTAATTATAATATTGGCAAGTCAATTAAGCTCTCCATGCCTTCGTTTCCTCTTTGTTAAGTCATAATAATAATAGAACCCACCTCATGGAACCATATTATTCCCAAAAGAGCAAAGCACCTACAATAGTGCATGCTACATAAAACCTTCTGTGTGTCAGGGACACATAGAATGGATAGGAAAGTTGCTCAGTTAAGAACAAAATAAGTGCCTGAATTAAGACTATCTAGATGAGATTGGTGTACATTTATATGAGTAACATAGAATCAACAAAATTCAAATTGTTTACATTTCAGAGATTTAGTTTGCAAATGTTCAAAATGATGATCAAAAGATTAATTACATCGGTGCTGTGAATACTAGGCATGAGGCAGGTGCAAGAACTAGCATAGCACCTCACACAAAGGAAATACCAAACAAAATCATTTCCTGTCTAGGTAAAACAAGGAGATGCCTTTCCTGCGCTCTTCAACTCAAGGCTAGCGCTCTACTGCTTGAGCTACAGCACCACTTCCGATTTTCTAGTGGTTTATTGGAGATGAGTCTCGTGGACTTTTCTGCCCTGGCTGGCTTTGAACTGTGATCCTCCAATCACAGCCTCCTCAGTAGCTAGGATTATGGGGGTAAGCCACCGGAGCCCAAGATATCTTTTTTTATTCTTCCTTTTAGGTAATGTCTCATCTGCAAAATACCTGTGTCTATTGGCAATTGAGTAAGACGATATGCCTACATAGCTTAATATAGCAAGACCTAGATGTAGAAATAGAACTCTATAAAAAATTAGGACAGGCACTGGTAGGTGATGCCTGTAATCCAAACTGCTCAGGAGGCTGAGATCCGAGGAAAGTCTGTGAAACTCTTATCTCCAGTAAACCACCAGAAAACCAGAAGTGGCGTTGTAGCTCAAGTGGTAGAGCATTAGCCTTCAGCTGAAGAGCTGAGGGACAGAGCCCAACCCCAGAGTTCAGGCCCCACGACCAAAACCCTCCCACCCAAATCAATATTTTTTCTGTTTCTTGCCTTTTTCTTTCCTCCTCATCTTGTTTTCTTTTCGTCTTCCTGTTAATTAGCTACAATTTATTTCTGTTCGAGAGTTTAAGGATCATCTTTAATTCCTTACTGTCAACATCATGCTGTGCCTCTCCTGTCTTAGCTGTTTGGATGGCGATCACATGTCAATCTGGCAATGGCCATCAAGCATGCGAATGCAACTTTTGCAGAAGAATGTATTCATGAACAGTTATCCCATCTCAGTAATTACAGCTGAGTCCTCGGTGTGCAGGGATTCCATTTCCTCCAAGTCAAGCACCTGCGGATGAGTGTGTTTGGGCAGCCTTTACAGTGGTGGGCTCTGTGCTAGTTTGTTTCTTGTCCCTTTTCTTAAGCAATGTAATGTAATGATTACTTGTATAACATTTGCATCATATTAGGCATTGTAAGTCATCTGAATGGAGGTTAAAATATATATGCAGGTTTGATGCTAACACTTTGCCATTCTATACAAGCGAATTGATCAACCTAAGACTAGAGTGACCAAATAGGTCCTGAAACCTATCCCAAGTAGATGTCAAGGGATGACTTTCCTGGGTAATCGTAGAAATGAAAGAGTATTTTCTCATCTTTCATCCTACATTTTAATTTGCAGTTGAGTTAGAATAAAGCTCCTTTCTTTAAATTACATTTTATAGTTATAAAATTAATGTGTACTTCATGACACAGAAAACGTACGGAGAAAATGAAAAGATCATGTCATGTCTATTGAGCAAATGTCTTTTTCAGCATGTTTGGAACTGACATTTTTATATAATGTATTGCAATTTGTGTATGAAATTTAAATAATGAGTTTTTTTTTAATCTGGAAATTTTCCAAATGTTTTACTGGAAACATTTTCCCTATCCTTGGATAACATTAGTTTCCTGAGAATATATTGTGTTATATTATAAGATAAATTCACAGCCTTTCCCTGATTGGAATATATTTAGGTTATTTCCAGTTTTTGCTATTACAGGTGTCAATGAATATCTTTGTATGTAAATCACTTTGCGTATAAATATATATTTTATGAAAACTTATTAAAAGTACTGAAGTACCAGGCCGTAGACTCCTTCCCCCCCCAAAGACCACCAGGGAGCCTTCGCCAATGTAAATGCACGAGAGTCGTTTATTACAGCTCAAGCCGGACTCACAAACCTTTCCTGACACAGCAGGTCAGAAATTGTGAGCCCCGACCCTTCCGCTAGCTGGGTTTTTATAGGGTTTTTAGGGACTTCTATGCATCATTGCACACTTAAATCTTATCACACCGCGGGAAAATCATAAAATAATTCTAAAAGATGATTAGTGTAACCAGTTGATGCTCTTCAAAATGACTGGCTAAAGCAGATGATTTGAGCTGTGACCAAGTGGTCTTTGTCTTGCAGGAACATTTGGAATTTAGCTGTAGTTAATGGAATTTACCTTAGAGGGTTGTTCCTGGAATTTGAGCCCAAGGGGATCAAGGGGAGTTGCTGACACATTTCCCGGACAAAATGCAATCCAAACCTAAAATTGCTATATTTTGTTCAGGCTTCATAGTACCATTAATCAAACTGCAGTGCTGTCAAAATAGTACAATTAATTTAGAGAAGATTTGTATAAAGCTGTAATTATTATATAGGAGAAACAGTGCAGATTAGATCCTAACGAAAGGTATTTTCTATACAATGATGAATCTCAGAATTGACCTCTGAAACACCTGTTCTCCATTTCTTGTCCCCAATTAGATCATAGCTGCTTTCTAAAGTAGAGATGACTTCCTTTGAAGCAGTGAAGAATGATTAAAGTTGAAAGTAATAGGGGATAAAAACTGTGTTACAGATTAATTTTTATTCCCATAAAATAATAGGGATGCAATGAAGAACTGTGGGCCCAAAAGTATTCTAATACTTCTTCTAGGTAAAGTAATAGTTATATATAAACATTCTTAGATTGACTTAAAAATGTATTCCTAAAACTATAACTATAAAAGTTTATAAACTTTATAACCAGATAAAAGGCAGTAATTTTACAAAACTTTTCATGACTAAAATTTCCTTTACCATTTTTTGTATCATCTGAAATAATTAAGTTTGAAAAACACATAAATCAGACTGAGAGTAGGAGCACTATCAGAATACATATCAGATCAGACTTTATTTTTTGTCGGTCGTGGGGCTTGAACTCTGGGCTTGGGCTCTGTCCCTGCACTCTTCAGCTCAAGGCGAGTGCTCTACCTCTTGAGCCACAGCACCACTTCCAGAATACATATCATATCAGAATACAAGGGCTTGACCCGAAAAGAAATGGTTCTTGTGGAAAAATTTCTGCCTTGTAAAATACCCACAATGCCTGTATTTACCCCCTTATTTACCTTGCTATTCCTATTTTATCTTTCATGCATATTTAGTGTCCAGATCCATCATGCAAACAGGACTTGCTGGCCTATCTCGAACAGATTAAATTCTATTCCCACCAACTGAAAATCTGCAGTCAAGTGAAAGCTGAGATCCAGAACTTGGGGGGAGAACTCATCATGTCTGCTGTGAGTATTACCCAGAATTTACACCATTGCAGGTACTACATGCTAAGGGCAAGAAATCATGCCCCTTCTCACATCAATAAATCTTGTAGGAAAAATTCAATCAGAAGTTTGTATAAAGATATATGTAACTAAGCAAGCGAGAAATATACCTGATAGCTTTTAAAATATTAAGGAGATACAAGACATTTTTTTATTCCAGAGATGAAAGAATCAGGGTCTGAAAACCACTTGGATGAGAAATGCATGCTAATTTAGAGCAGAGATTTCAAATATCAGAAAGTATACAGGTGGAACTCTGAGTTAAATCTTATAATATTTGTAAAATGAATGTGGAATTGCAAATTAATAAAATGATTGCTTCATTGATATTAACTGATACTCATTTCCCACTTGTTCATTTACATAATATAGAAATTCAGGTCTCAAGGTTTTCTTTTTAATTTCCCCATGTAATTTTAGAAGTATAATGTGATAAAAAGAAAACATTATAGATTTAGAGGAACTTGCATGAATTCTTGGATGGCCTTGCATTTCAAGCTGCTTTAAAAATATGATGGTAGAAATAATATCAAACATCTTCACTCATCTTTTAATAACTGTAGATCATTTCTGTAGAGCAGATATGGTAATAAAATAATACTTGATAAATTATATTGAATTTAGTTATTAGTGACATTGAGAAGGACATGAAACAAAATTTTAAATTTAAGTTAAACTCAAACTCTATGAACAACCTGGGAACATATACTTCTGAATACAATTTTTTAACTGAGGGAGGAAAGGTGAATAAATGCAGTCATATTCAATGTCTATGATGTAAAAATTGAACCTATATAATTTGAGGGTAGGGATGAAAGTGGGAATCAAGGGGGAGAAATATGGAAGGGGTACATTGATAAACATGCATTATACTCATAACCTGGCTTATGGAATTGTGATATATTAGTATCACCATTCAATAACAAAAATGTAAAAATAAAATAAAACATATATAAGCAATATACTTACAGATCTGCAACTTATAAGTCTTTGAAATTGTTGTCAATGAATTAAGTTTTGAAGTGACTGTAATTATAAAAGCATACCGGAACAGCAATATTAAAATCACAAGGGTGATAATGAACCTTTCAATATTTATCTATGTCAGCCATCAAAATACCATTCCAGATAGATAACTCCTTTGTTTGTTTTGTTATCTGTAATATATGAAACTTCCTCTGAAAAGTTAAGAGCTGTACTAGGGTCAAGCCAGTCAATGTCAAAGCTGGGGTTTGCCATCAGTGGCCTGTGATTTCTCTGGTCTGTTGCAAAGATTTAAGCCTGTGATGAAACTGAAGAGTACAAGCCAAAAGTGAATAATTCAGAAATTATTTTTCTATTCTAATAAATGTCAGCGGAAAATAAAAATCAATTTCCTTAATATATATATTTTCGACAAACAAATCTACCAATACAATCTGTACACATCAGCTGTCCCTTCATTTTACCGGAAAATGCATTTTAAACAACCACATGCCATATAATCATAGTATGTGTATATAAATGCAAATATGCATCTATGTTTGTATACTAACACATATATAAACATGTATACATATTTGAATGTACATGTAATGTGATTCATAATTTGTGATGGGATTCCATACTGGGTAACCCATAGTATGTTGAAAGTATCATGAGTGCCCCATTTGTGAGGAAAATGGAAAGACTTGAAAAAAAATTACATTAAGGCCCAAAGAAACATAGGTACCATGGTTTCCCTTATTTGCAATAACTAGTATAAGCCTAGGACAGCAGAAAAGCTCAAAAGCTATGTACATATAACCATATAAGATGATGTTAAGTGAAATGAACCCTCAAATAGGGACACAACTGTTTACCTCTTGCTTGCTATTGTTTTTAACATATTTAAAATGTACTATGTGATTTTTTGCTTCTTTTGTATGTGTTTACCCCAAGGTATAACCTCTATTTTCACTGTATTTGATGGGGGTGGCCTGCATCTTGCATATACATTTTTCTAATTTGGGGAGGGGAAGGGAAATAAAATGCTGAAATAAGGATACAGGTTTACCCATTGTAACAATGAGATGTACAAACACTATGTTGAAAACGAACTTTACAACTTGTGGGGGGCGGGGAAGCAGGGAGGAGTTGTGGAGGTGGGATGGGGAGGGAAGGGATGGTAGGGAAAAAACAAAGGAGGAGGTAACAATGCTCAATAGGAAATGTACTCATTACCTTGCTCATGTAACGGTAACCCCTCTGCACATTATTTTTACAATAAAAACATTAAAATGAAGTTAATAAATTTAACCAGAGAAAATAATAAGTTAGCCTCATGTACCTTAATTATATATAGATTGCCTATGTTGTACTTTTGGCAAAATTATTCAACAGAAAACCTGCACCAAAGAACACAGGCAACACTTTAGATTTTTGTTTACCACTGTGAACCTGTGGCTGACTGATACCTCGAGCCCAGGTAAAGATCAAAATTTAAATTTCAAAGTATCATTTGCACTGAATATATATTGCTTTCACATTGTCTAAATGTTGAAAAATCATAAATCAAGGACAATCTGTATATACATATATGTCTATTTAAAATGAATTGTATGTCTATAAAATAGTAATTTTTAAACCATTTGACATCTAGTCTTTCTTCTTATTATTTCTTTTACATCATTGAAAATATCAAAATATGCATTTGTGTGTTCAATATATATCACAGGTTATTTTTTCTAATTCTTCACACTAATTGTACTTCCAAAGGTCAAAATATATTAACTTGATTTTCCAAATATGTGCAATATCTTTTTTGCCTGAAGCGAAGCATTCAAAAAATTGTATAGAAGACCAGCCTCTATATAATTGTTAAATGAGAAACTGTCTGCTCCAAAACATAATTTCTTTCTTCCAGATGTGTAAATTGAATTAGCACACCTTTCTATTAGTTGTGATGAATCAAATTCATGAACTTTATCTACTTCACGATAGGTTAGGCAGGAGCCATTTAGAGTCCATAATTCACAACTTAAAATCTGGGTCACTATATAGAAGGAGGAATGGCACTGCAAATCGAAAACTGTTTGTCATCATTTTGTCCATAAATTCCCATTACAGAAAATAAATCAATAAAAAGAGAGCATGCCCCCTTTTTCATCCTTTCCTGTTATTTGCTTGCAGGTAATCCTGGAAAGTTTTTAAAATAAATATTATTTATGTATGCCAAAACACACTTTAATATCTCTCTGTGACCCTGCGAGTTCTTAGGTATTTTTTTTATTTTTTCCCATCTACATTATTTTTCTGTAAGATTTCCTGAAAATTAACAAGCATAATTCTAAGGCATGGGAACTCATGAAAAATTACAGAAATGTTGGGCTGGGAAGGTGGCTCAGTGGTAGAGTGCTTGCCTTGAGCTGAAGAGCTGAGGGACAGCGCCCAGGCCCAGAGTTGAAGCCCCACGAGCGGACCCCAAAAAAAAAAATTACAGAAATGTGTTATCAAAGCTAGTGGCAATTCAAAATTCACTAAATAATGTTTGTATTCCAAGATGAGGTTCATGAACCATTCCTTTTAGCAGATATACTTGACTGAAAAAATTGAAAAGAAGTATAAATGGAACACATTTCCAAAAATGAGTGAGCAGAATACATTCTTGTATTAAATTAAGGATAAAATAGAGTAGTAATATGAAAAAAATTGAAGTATATTCTTACAATGTACCATTGAATTTTTTTATCATTTATAAATCTATACTATTCACACCTAACCAGATGTTTTATTTTTTTACTCATAAGGAAAACAAAGGGTAGTAGCTAGATCTATTACTATGGATCTGGTGCCTTTTCTGTGCCAAAGATAGTAAAACATCTGGAAGATATAAAAGTGAGTAATGGCACCAATTTTACAATGCTTATATGCAAACAAAATTAAGCCATGTAAAATGTACCTAAAGATTCATAAACAAAAGCAGAATGATATTAGAAACTACATAATAGTGGTATCTACAAATGAGCATAGTTTAATAGATCAGCAAGTAATTACTTCACCAATGCACAACCTGAGCGAGAGGAAAGGTCCCTACTGGCTTGACTCTAATGGGCTCTTGCCTAGTAAGTGGAAACGAATATGTACTTATGAAGGAAGGACGAGGAAAGACTCAAGGAGGATGACAACCAAGATAAAAAGAAAGAAGGAAGATGGGAAATGTGACTGAAGGCTATACTATTTCTTCTGGTCATGTATGAATCGTTGTGTGGACAATAAAAGGAAACTGGCCATGTTAAGAAGTTATTTGGTGAGACAAAGGATTGGGGGGAACCAATGCAACAGTGATATTCACAAGACAGTATGTTGGAAATGATCTGTACAACTTAGGGAGAGGACTGGGGAAGGGAAAGTGGGAGAAAAAAATAAGGGGGGTAACAAGTTTGACAAGACACATACTTACCACCTTACTTATGTAAATATAACCCTTCTGAACATCACCTTGACAATATAAGTAAATAGATAAATAAATAAATAAATAAATAGGGGCTGGAAATATGGCTTAGTGGTTAAGTGTTTGTTTAGTATGCATGAAACCCTGGTTCAATTCCTCAGTAGAACAGACATGAGGTTAAAAAATATATCAATAATGAATATAATATTAAAAAAGAAGGTGTTATTTTTAACACTCTATCTTTATCCTAGAGACTTTTAGGAATAATTGTGTTTTTAAGTTTGAGAAGGCTATGAACACATCAATGTATTTTGAAATGAACTGCAATATGAATTGCAATAATATCTATCTATGTATTTATCTCTATTTGCTGATTTTTCTCACATTTGATTAGCCCATACTAATTAATTTTACAGTATTTCTGGAGTTCATTTTGGTTTTTCTTACATGCATACAATATACAGCTATCATACACACTCTCAATATTACTTTCTTGTTTTGATACCACACTGGCAGATTGGAAGGATGAAGGGCTGGAGGTTAGTCTGTT